AAGGTTTGGGCTTGTCTAAATTCCACTGAAACCGGTTCTTCTACATGTTATTGTACTTGAAGGGTTAGTTTCACCCAAAAATGAAAATTCTGTCATCATTTCCTCATTACTCATTTGTCGTTCCAAACCTGTAAGACGTTTGTTCATCTTCGAAACACAAATGAAGATATTTTTAATGAAATCTCGAGTCTACACCCCCTGTTGAAAAAACCAGCATATGCTGGTTAGGTATGTTTTAACGCTGGGATGCTGGTTTATGCTGGTCCTTTGCTGGTTTAAACTGGTCCTTTGCTGGTTTAAGCTGGTCCTTTGCTGGATTAAGCTGGTCCTTTGCTGGTTCGTGCTGGTCCTTTGCTGGTATAAACTGGTCCTTTGCTGGTTTAAGATGGTCCTTTGCTGGTTTAAACTGGTCCTTTGCTGGTTTATGCTGGTCCTTTGCTGGTTTGAGCTGGTCCTTTGCTGGTTTAAGCTGGTCCTTTGCTGGTTAATGCTGGTCCTTTGCTGGTTTAAGATGGTCCTTTGCTGGTTTAAGCTGGTCCTTTGCTGGTTAATGCTGGTCCTTTGCTGGTTTAAGATGGTCCTTTGCTGGCAAAGGACCAGCATAAACCAGCATATGACAAGCTTAAACCAGCATCCCAGCGTCAAAACATACCTAACCAGCATATGCTGGTTTTTTCAACAGTGCTGCCACTTTGACACTTCAAAGAGATTGTAAAATTAATCCATATGAATCGGCCAGTTTAGTCCACATTTTCTAAACAGACTTGATTGATTTATATGATATAACAGATTTAATTTAGGCATTTATTCACATATAAATATTGATCAATGTTCCTACAATGTTTAGATGTTAATAAAAATTAAGTTGATAGAATGTTTCTGGAACGTCATATTAACCTTATAAAAATGTTCCACTAACATTAAGAAAACTGGACATTTCAACACTTCCATAACCAAAACATGATGTTTAGAACAAAAATGTGTAAGCCGGATATTTGCTCATATATAATTCTTCCATTTCATAGTCTATGAACCAACTAAATTATTAGCATAATAATGATGATGATAAAAATAAAGATAGATTGAACATTCACATCTACACACAAGATAGGTGACCCCATTTCAAAGCAGCTAATAGACATCACCACAAAAACATAATTAACAGACTAAAACACATTCACGTTCATACTGTCACGTCAGGTGATCTTGAGTAAAAGCTGCTCAACAAAAATATACAAGACCCGACAAAAGCACACAGTGAGGGAATAAAACACTTAACCCATGTGCTCACAAAAAAACAAAATGTACAGTGCTGTTTTATTTCTTAAAAACATAGGTGCTGAGCATCACAGACACTCAAGATATCAGAAGATGTTGAGTACTATTGCAGGTGAGTGGACATTATTTGGCATTTTTAATTAGAAGTCTGTAATATGACGTACTGTAATATGATATGTGACCTGTGCTAGCAAAATGAGTCAATGAGGAAACTGTCTGGCTGTGGCTCATTATACGACAAGGAAACCGGCGTCCTGTGGCAAGCCGAATGGCGTTAGAAGCGGCGATTTTTACAAACACTAAAACGCCGTTTTTACACTTTATGCACGTTTTTACGGCGTCTGCTATCAGGATGGCGTACTTGACGGCGCTAATATTGTTTAAAACGCAGTCAAATACGCCGTTTTGTATGTAAACACGATTTCTCTATAGCGTAAATGTGAACCTCTTGGCTTGCCATAGTCGCGAGTCAAACGGTACTGTGCTCGCAGTGCGTGCTCTTCAATTGAGCGTATGCACGGAGCGCTATTTAGAGCTTCCGGATAAAGATAAGCCAGCTCGTAATCTTCCGGTGAAGCTCGTTTTATATATGTGCTATATATATTTACAGTAGGTAGAGACTCTCACAGAAACCTCTCCTGCCTCATTCTTATCAGAAACTGAGAAACTAAATAATTGCAACACCGTAAATAATGATAGCGGAATTAACATACAGTTTCATGTTATTAAAGAACATATAATTTTATATGCAGAGTCTGGTAATCAAGTACCCAGACACGTAACTGTACATTTGAATGCTGACAAATAAACAATATCGTAATTTATACGATTTAAAAAATATATATACATTTTAAAGCCTTTATTATTTCTCAACTTGGTGCAGTAAAATTCACTTTATTAAAGGTTCACTTTTCATTCATGAAGATGACATGAAGAAATGTGCCAAAACCGTGTCTCTTGGCGAAAAATAAAGACTTTTTAAGATGAAAATTAAATTACCGTTGTAACCAGGAGATGGCAGCAGAAGCTCACTCATTGGCTGCAGTTGCCATTTCCACACCCTAGTTTTTTTCACGTCTTTTTATTTATTATAAAATAAATATTAATTATAACAAATTTTATACTTTATCGCACTGAAGTATAAAGTATAGCAAGTGCAGGAAGTCACTTGTCAATTAAATAAATAAATAAATAAGGCCAGACAGCAGCCTATATTGCTTGAATTATTTAAATACCTATATAGTCAAATACAAATTAAATAAGTTGGTTGTTGGTATAACAAATAAATAATGCATTCAATATTTTGAAATGTTTAGATTTAATTTTAATAACTACGTTGTTTAAGTCTTATCCAACACAGACTTGTTGCTGCTGTAGTTTTGAATCACTTAATGCACAGCTGTATTTTGACATCGGCTCGTCAGATGATTCATTCCGTTGCCACTGTCAACCATAGCAATGACTCGCGGCATGATTTGACGGATTTAACATTCACGTTTGTCATTCCTGAAACAGTATACGTGGACGTTTGGTCATCTTAGACAAACAAAACGTTTCTCCAAATTGTGAATGGATTATGTAGAGAAACCGAGCAAAGGGCGCTCCCCTTACGGCACAGTACAGTTCACCAGAAAAAACTGAGCTGGCTTATCTAAAACCAGGAAGTAATCGTGCATATGGTCAATTGCACACACAGACACCTTTATCATTTCATATTCAAGCGCGAAATAATCTACGTGCATGCAATGCTGTGATCAGTTAAGTCATGAAGGTACCAAAAAGGCGATTAAAGCTGCCTTAAAACTGTGCATGCATGTAATATATTTTATGAGTCACATTTAAGAACATGTCTCTGAAATGGTTTTCAAAACTGTCCTGGAGCAGCCCGCAACTGTCTCACTCATCTAACACACCCGATTCAACTCGTCAGCTCATTAATAGAGACTTTAAGACCTGAAGTGAGTCAGAAAAGGTAAAGAGAGTTGAGAGAAAATACGATGCTTGTCAGATCCGCGTCATGTTCAGCAGCGGCAGCTCTTAAAGAAAAAACAGGCAAAACAACCTAATAACCAGCTGCTGTGATGTTTGTTCATAAAGGAAATCAATTTTTCTTTTTATATAGCTTTAAATATAGATGATTCTTTAACTTAGAATTTAGTGTTTGATAACTTCTGAATTTAGTGTTTGATAATTTCTGTATATTTCTGCTGAAGGGCACAGGTAGGCCTAAATA